AAATGGTGCCTCCCACGCAGGAGCGAGATACCACGGTGTTCGCCGGGTTTTCAGCTCCCGCCGGGACCTGCGGCCCGGGAGTCGCGGGGGTGCTGTGCTTGAACTCTGGACACCTCCTTGTTTTCCTCCTTGCCTCGTGACTTCTGTGGCCTGTCACGGAGGGAAGGCAGAGGAACGAAAGGCGAGATCTTTGCCTGCTGCTCGCTTCCTGCCTCCTTCCTGCAGCCCCGGCCACCGCAGCAGCTCCGATGGCAACCCCCAGTGCCCCAACCAACTTGCCGAGGGGAAATTCGGAGGTCCCACGGCTCTCACCTGACCCGTCATCCTCCCAGCACTCATGTTTGTCGTTGCTTGATGCTTCGTTTATTCCAAGATATTGGCTAAGACTGCATCAAACCTGGTAGGAATTACGGGGTCAGAGATCTGAGCTCAGCTCATCGGTGTTGACTTGCTGCAGATTTTGCCAGAGCACTGCTGGATATCGATGCCCGTGTTGGCTTCTCCTGGAGCTGGGTGCCTGTTCCTCCTGGACCTAGCCACATGTATAATGTGTTGTTGGAAGTTTTGTGACCTGATTCCTTGGTGTTTTGGAGTTTCTCATAACCTAAAAGACTTTGAGATGGCTTGGATAAGGGCTTAAAGGGCTGCACTGGAGGGAGGTGGCTTGGTTTGGAGGAATAATGTGTGGGTGACCCAGATTTCAGAACCTGAATTGGGTGAGGAGGAGGCATCCATAATCAGACTTGAAGTTGTAAGAAATCTGAGTTCTTCTTAGTTTTTGTTCATGTTGGGAAGAGGTCAGCTGGCTTCTGTGTAGAACCTTGTTTTGCCAGGTGGTGGTTAAGGGTGGCATTTGTCCTGTCCTCTTGGTCTGGGTAAATCTCAGTGGGATTACACGGTCCAGTTGCTTGTGACAGTAGGTGGCTGGGCTTGAGGTTGATGCTCGTGCTCTCTGAAATAGTGGGACACAAATACTTCCTCCGGGAACTTCTTGTGCTTCCTGGTAGATTTTAGATGGATGGTAAGTCTGTTCTGCATGCTTTTTTTTTTTTTTTTTTTTTAATTCTGTTAGCTTTAGATGGATGTTCTTGTGCTTGGTCTGTTGAACCTTATAATTTCTTATAGTACTCTTATTTCATGTGCTTTCTAGTAGGAAAGAGTCAAATTATGCTATAGCTTTTTGATGATTTTTTATTTCCTTTTTTTTTCCTTTTTAATGTAATCTGCTTTAGAGTCTTGTTTAAAATGGGCTGTTTTATTTAATTAGTTTGTATTCATCTTACATTCACTCTCCATAGTTATCCCAGGCAAAATTTAAGGAGCAACCCACAAGGGAATTCCAATTCTTAATTGGAATCACTTTTTTTCCGAAGGATGTTTGATTCTGAGTATTTACTTTGCTTTCTTTCATCTGGTATCTTTCCAGTTCATGTTGTTTGCTTCGTTACTGTTTGGCTAAATTATCCACAGCTAGTTTATTTCAGTAGTCATGCCTGGGAAGTTTTGCAATTCCTTTCTGCTTTGCAGCTCCTCACTGAACTGTTGAATCTTTTACTGAAGTACTCAGAAGTGACTTCAGTGCAAATGCAGTTGTACTCTATTGTTTTGACAGTTGGGCTCTACAGAGAGTATATTTCCCTCTTTCCTGAGGTAATCACACAGTTGATGTTCAGAGTATCAGCCAGTTGGAGACAGATACCTTCACCTGACCCCTGGCGGGTATTTACATTCCCAGCTGGTTATCACTGCATTGAATCCAAAATTCTACTATAAAAGTACCCAGTCTTGATTTCAAGATATCAGGTGATAGGCTGCAGTGGTTTCCTGGATAAATTATTCCAGTGGCTGATTACCCTCGCTAATTTCTTATCTCCATCTGTCTGGCCTGGCTCCTAACCACAGAGTCTTGCTACAAGTCTTCATGTCAGGTTGACATGAAAGCCTGTTGCTGCCAGGATGACACATTCCAGCTAAAAGATGGTCTGTTGTACTGCAAGCCCATGGCTGTTAGCTGTGCTGAGCTCTTCCTTCTGGGAAGAGGCAGCTGTGGAGCTGGAGTCTGGGTGATCAGCATGGTTTAGAGCAGTGATGGAGGGTGCCTGGCCTGGTGTCTCTGTGGGCAGGGCTTCCTGGGAACTGTGATTGAATAACTCTGTTGCTTGGAGCTGGGCTTCACATGATGAGCAGCCCAGCAGCACAACAAGATGCTGCTGAAGGAATGATCCAGTTCTCATCCAGTCCTGACTGCAAGCTCCTGCTGCATCCCTGGGATCAGCTCTGGTGACCAAGTGGCCTCAGATCAGTCCAGTCACGGCTCCAACTGATTAACCCCCCTCCCTAAAGAAAAAAAGTATAGAAGTTGGATTAGCCTGCCTTGTGGCCAGAGAGATTGCTGAAGAAGAGTAGCGTGACACTGCACATGAGAAATGTAGTGAGGGACCACCTTTTCCAACAGCAGAATTAGATGCCAGAGGGAATCACACATTTAGTTCCTACATTTCTGTGCTTGGATAAACAGGCTGTGGTTGCACAAATCCTCTCAGCTGGCACTGCTGTTGAAAGAAGCCGTCATGCCTTCCTGTTGGCATCTCTACTGGTTCTCTGGTGCGGTTTGTTGTGGGACCATACATGCACCTCTACCACCAGGAGAGAAAGGACAGAGGATGGAATTCCTTTTGGCAAGGTGAAGAGTTGGTGAAACTAGGAGTTGTCACAAGTATGCCTTACCTTTAAATCTTCATAGAAGGCAGTGTATCTTTTTGCCTTCTCTCTGCAGCTGACCTGCCATGAGAGCAGCTGCCCTGATTTACTCAGTAGTGTGGATTAACTCTGTTGTGTGGCTTGGGAGAACTGGGTTAACCCAGGACTGGGATTAGGTCAGCTGCTTTTATGTCTTTGGTCAAGAAGTGCGTGTTGAAATTTGTTGTGTGGGAAAGAGCATTTAGTAAGAAGAAGGTCTGAGCCTTGGCTGTGACACACTGCTTCCTATGAAGGATTCAGTGGTGCAGCAAAGTTCTAAGTTAATGCATTCATGCATTCTAGATGTGAGTTCTCAGTGCTGAGCAATGTGGGGTGCCCTTTTGGGAAAGCTTCATTAATCTTGTCTTTTCCATTAACAAGTGACTCCAGCTTTCTTGCCTTTAAGTAGAATTGGTTTACTGAGACAAAATCCATTCCCTGTCTATTCTTTTAGACACCATTCCTTCAAGTCCTGTGCAGAACACTGCAGGATGAGGAACAGAGCCTGTGGTGGGGACTTGTTTTGACCTCATGTTGGGGAGGTTGGATTAAAAGCAAGGTGAAGTCGGAAGAAGAAATTCCCATAACTTTAGTACAAGTTCAGTGCAAGGTCAGGGGGAGGGCTATTGGTTTTAATAGTGGGAAAAATTTAGAAGAGGGGAGGTGATTACCATGACATGTGTACAAATGCACATAGATAAACAGACACACATATGTAAATGTATACAAAATAGAGGATGTTCTGATGCTAGGAGAGGTTGAGGAGGAGTGGCTGAAGAAACTGTAATTGGATAGCACACAAGGAGGGAACTGAGGAAGCACAGGAACCTGCTGCTGGGAGAATACTGCATTCAAGCAGAGATGGCCGTAAATTCCCTTCCTGAAAACATATCCTTTTTGCAGTGTCACAGAGAAGTGTGTGACATTTGGACACCAAACCACGTTTTTATGATCTCAGATTGAACACCCAGCTGCAGGCAGGGGCTCAGTGTGTGAGATTGACTGCGCATGGCCTTGCTGGTGCTCTGAGTCATTAAGCACGGGGATTCCTAATGCTGATCATATACAGAATTTCCCATATCTCCACCAGGGCCAGGCTGGGGTGGTGCCCAGCAGGATCCACTAGCTGGGTGATCCCCTCCATGGGCAGAGCAGAGCTGTGCACTAGTGAGCAGACCCAGCCTTGCACAGGGTGGGACTGGAGGAGGTGAGGGGAGGGAAAGCTCCTGCTTCATCACCAAATCCAGCAGTAGAGTTTATGAATCCAAAATACACCCCTCTGGAGGCAGGGGAGGGGATTAGGATCCTGGTCATGTTAGGGCATGATTTGTTCAGGTTGCAGAAGCCCAGGGATAATCAGGGGACACGAGTGTGGGTTGCAAGCAGACTTGTAGCTAGTTGGACATGATCCCTGTTCACATCTGCCACAAAGTGGCTGCCATGGCTACACTTTCATATTCACTGGATAACAGAAATAGGTGCACGAAGCAGTGTTAAGCTAACACAAACGCCACTGCTGGGAGGATTAGAAGAAGATGCTTTGCCCGCGATCTTGCTGGGCAGCTGCAAAAAATCAGGATGTGTAAGATATATTGTATGTGTGCTTTACACTCACCTTTACAGGTGTAGTGATCAAAAATGCCTACAACAGATTGTTTGAATAGCTTAAATCTTACTTGGGCCCTTAAATCTTCACTACAGATTGCTGTCTGTTACGAGGGGCTCGTGGAAACTTGGAAAGAGTAGATGGGAAGATTATACCTTTCACAGTAAAAAGATACCATACCAGTGCCTGTAGCAAAGCTGTGATGTTGTAGCATCAGATGTCTTTAGTGGGTCTGGGCTGCAGGCTAAATCCTTGGATTAAGCTTGAGTTTAGATGCAGAAGTTTTGCTGTAGGTATTCCATAGTGCAGGCATCCAAGGGTAACTCTAGACTATGAAGTGTAATCCATCTGCAACATTTGAGTCACTCTTTTTTCTGAGGTCCTCGAAGATTACAGTCTGGTTTTACAGGTGAGGGCTGCCAGGCTGCTGTTGAAGTTGTGAAGGTGCAGTGTGTCTATTTCCATTCTGTTGCTGGATTTAGGGGAGAAGGGGTGTTCTGAGTATGCTGCCAGCTCTTCAGGACAGGAATAGTGCACAGTATTTAGAACAGTGAGGATTCAGTCCTGATGGTTGGTATGGCTCATGGCTCAAGTAACTCTTCTCATTGTTTGTTCTCTTTTTCTGTGACTTACTTTGCACATGAAGATATTTCAGGCTTGAGTCTGGATACAATAGATCTGGTAGATCTTAGAGTGCTCTGAGAATGCTGCACTTTTCTCTCCTTTCTCTACTCCTCCGCACAAGACTGTACAATATCCTGAGTTGGAAGGCACCCACAAGAATCACTAAAGTCCAACTCTGAGGCAAGGTGTTTTCTCCTGGAAAGGCATGTCCCAGGTACAGGTAAGGAGAATTTCAGGATGGGCAAGGGGGGGAGCACTGGCAAGGCTGCAGTACAGTACACAAGCTGGTTGTGACTCTGTGCTCTGACAAACTGTGGGGCAGAGAGAGGATGCTGTGGGGAGACAGCCAAAGGGAAGTGGGACCATCCCATATTTTTGCAACAAATTACAGCTTGTGGCATGCTTTCTTAAATGTGCAAATGATTGAGGGAAATGGGTTAACCCCTCCAAGTCACACAGTAATTTCTTAATAGCAACTGGTGATGTGTATAGGGAATACATGACTGTATGTCACTCTCTTCTCATCCCTGAGCACAGCTGGGAAGAGGGAATATTCTAGCAGGGCATGTGGAGAAGGCTGAAAGGGAGGCTGTAGGGTGTTCCTGTAGGCACAGGGTGAACACTGCTTGTTTTGGTGCCATCTGGGAAGGCAGTCATCCTCTTGCATCGCTCCTGCAGTTTACCTTGTCTTCTGCCCCTGCACAATGAATAAAGCTGAGCTGTTTCATTTCGGAGAGGGCAGAGAGAGGAAGATGAGCAATTTGAAGGTATGCTGGAGCAATGAAATGTGCCTTATCCTGGAAGAGCAAGGCCAGGCATGCAAGTTATGTCATTCTGTCACAAGGGAGGGTCTGGGCTGTGAAAAGCAGCTAAAAATTGTGTCTGTGCATCTAGAAGAATCATGACAGCTGAATGGCCCAGTGGGTGTTATCCAGATGAATGACATTTCTTCCTTCGTTCTCTACCAGCGTCATTTTTGCCTATCTAGTTGCTGAGTGGGTGATAACAGTGGTATCAGACATGAAAATAAGCATCTGAGTATAAAAGGAGAAAGATGAATTGATTCTTACTCTGATAGTCGTTGCAGATGACCAGAACAAGAAAAGGTGAGATGTGCTGCATTGTGTATGCAGTGAAAACTGGCATGATCAGAAATCTCATGTTCAGCAAGGCAGTATGGAAGCAAATCTGCCCTGAAATGTATTATAGCTGCATTTTACTAGAATGTTGCCTTTGGAAGCTTAATTTAAAAGGTGGCATTGTAAAAGGTTTTGTTGTGTTGCTAAAAAGAGTGAACAAAGTGCACTGAAAGGCAAAAAAAAGGTATTAACTGATGTGGGAGACAAATACAGAAGTGTCAGGCAAAGCACATGCAAAAACACCAGCTTGGTTTTAAACTATGGTTTGGTAGAGAAATACAGTTTTGTGTTTAATGGGAGCAAGAAATAACTAATGCTCTCTGTCCTAAGTTCATAAAATTGATGGAAGTGGAGAAGGGGTCTCCCCTGAATGTAAGCACAACGAGAAGTAGACATATCTATTGGATATGTCCATTAGAATGTGAATATCTGACATGTGTGAGATTATGGGAGTGGGGCTTTCTCTGACTGGGCAGTGAGACTCCTCCAGTACAAGTGCAATACAGAATGAGCCAAAACAACTAAGTATGTACACTATATTGTGGGAAAAATCTTTGTTATTTGTAGAAAACAACTTTACATCAGAAAAGGAAAATATCTTAGTAATGTGTTTTGTTATCTGGAAGAACTTGGAGGCAAAAAAGACACGGAAATAAAGAAGAGAGTGAGCAGCTGATATATTTTTGTTGGGGAAAGGATTGCTTAAATAAGACTTTGCTTATGGTTGCAATCAGATATGGGGTTTATAACAGGCCTTTGCATATTCAGTACACTGAGCAGCCACTCCCTGCCTAATCCTCAGAATATGGCTGGGAGGTAGGAGGGTTTACTATTACCCCAACTGCACAGATGACCCTCAGACAGGCAGAAACTGCTGCAAAGAGCTAGAATACAGAATTGGAAATTCTGCTGGATGGGGCCATTCTTGGTTGCCCTAAAAAGATGCCAAAACCAGTTACAATCTAAGTCTTCTGCAGAGACTCCTTTTATTGAATGACTGCAGTGGGGCACTGTAGGAAGGAGAGTCCCCGGTATCCTAATGTGTGTTCTCCTTCCAGCCTGGATTATGTTACTGGTGATAACAGCTATCCTTTGCCTCACTGTCTTGAAATTTCTAGTGACTGCACCCATGTTTAACTGCTCATAAGCCCTAGCCGTGAGGAGAGGCAAGACTCAAAACAGCAGTGTGCATCTTTGCCACCTTCTGTTAGGACAAGTGCAGGAATAGCCAAAGGTTTGGAATGCTGGGGTATTCCCCATGTTTGCATCAAAAACAGCAATGCTGCTTGTCCTGCTGTGGGGATAGCTGTAATTGCACTTTCACTGGCACAAGTGGAAGAGGTGAGGTGCTTGCTTCAGTAATAGGCCACAAAGATCTGTGCTGAAAGCTGGGTTCCTCAGGTGCATCAGTCTGGTGGAGGTTAGACCAAATTTTCCGTCCAGGAACATGTTTGGGGAGAGGACTCCAAGAAGGAGAGCTCTGGCTTTTCGCTCTTTCTTGGGCATGATCTGCTGACAATCCCACCTCTTCCCCTTTCAGGCTCTCTGTTGCTCTTAGCTTTCCCAAATCACAGTGGTCACACCACATCATACCCTTTGCTGTCACATCCAGTGATTTTTTTTTTTTTTTAAACAGAGCAAAGCAGTTTTCCCCATCCTAAGTCCAATGAACTCCTTTAGATGACTAAAGGAACTCTGCTGCATCTCATTGACCTTGGCAGAGATGAGACATTTATGTGTGTATTTATGCCCTGCTGATCAAAGCGTGTTGCAGGTAATGGGAAGGTGAAGGAGCCAAGTCTCTGATTTCATTTGCCTGGTGCTTATAGCTTCCTCAGGGAAGTATCTCATGGATGGGAAGGTACGCACCAGTCCAATTAGAATATGCCATGCACGCCTGTGTAGGCCGGGGGACGAGAGGACTTGGCATTTCTCAGACAGAGCTTTCGTTTTGTGACCATGTCATAAAAAAGGTGAAGGAAATTTTATCGGCTTGACTTTACACTGTTATTCACAGGCCACTGTTAAGTTGCTTCATCCTCTGATTTCTCATTGCCACACTGAATTCAGGAGCTTGGGGTGAATTTGAGACACACAGACCTTATTTTACTCCGAAGCATTGCCATCTGATAGGGTGGGACCTGGGAGGGGAAAGAGAGAAGTGGTGTTACATGCCACAGGGCTGAGCAAAAGGAAGCTGTGGGCCAGTGAAGAAGAGAGAGAGTTGATGTCTTCAGAGACTCCCAAAGAATAATCTTAGGATCCTGATTGCTCAGCTAATAACAGAAGATCATGAAGCCAGCAAGGAGTGCAGTGTTGGAGAATCTGGAAGGGTGGTGGTGGGAAACGGACTGTGCCCCCTTATTCATATGCAGAAAAATGAAAATAGAGGGAGGAAGGATAAAAATATCTCTAGTTTTCCTTATGCATTGAAACTTGTTTAATTATTAAAATGGGAAAAATATTTTAATTAATGCATCAAAGAAATGTCAGTAATATTTATGAGCTGGTATAAAATTAATGCTTTAAATTAATCCACACTTGGAGGTGTACTGCTCTACCTTTTTCTTTTTTTTTTTAATTTTTATAATATGCTGTGTTAATGACAGTATTAGGAACTAATGCTAAATCTTACCTACAACATCTATGGGCTATAATTACTACTATAAACTTTGAAATAAGGTAGTACTAATTGGTAAAGCTGGTTATAAAAAGCATTTTCTAAGACTGATGTATATCCATAACAGCATTTAAACCCCTGATTTATACAACTTTTCACAGCTTGATCTGAAAGACAAGGTCACAAGAGTGTCTTCCCCTTCCTCTTCCCTTCCCGGAACTTCCCTTTGGATTATTTCCCTTTTAAACTTTGCAGGTTATTTGAGATTTCCAGGGCTTTTTCTGAGGATCTCCTACATGTTTTTACTTGTTTTCAGAATTGGTCACAAGGGCTGTCTCCTAATTGACCTCTCTTCCATGCAACATCCCCTCAGAGCCAGCCCTTTCCTATGGGAAGGAGGCTGGCTGTGGGTTCACCGGAGTGTCACAGTCAGTGGCAATAAGGAGACAAGGAAACATAAAACTATGAAAACAGTCACTCATTTGGAAATGGTTATGGATCCAGTTAGAATATCCTGCTTCCCCTGGTGCCCGCTTCTCACCTGAGAGGGCAGCAGACATGTTCCTAGCAGAGGGCCAGGACTGGGTGTGTAAAACCCCACTGCTCTGCTGCTGCTGGTGTGTGTGGGCTGCCAAGGGAGCACCTGGCTCTGTGTGTGGAGTGCTTGGCAGTCACACACGGAGAGACACCTATGCTGGAGTGGCAGGGACTGGCCTGTGGATCCTGGGTGTGGTTTAACTAGAACATAGGGCTAAGTCCAGGTTTCTGCTTTCCTCCTCCTGCTTTGCTGCCCAGTCCTGTGTTCTTATCTTCTCGTGCAGCTTGTACAGCTGCTCTGGGGTCCCAGCACATGGAGGACATGGGCCTGCCGGATGGAGGACTTCTGCTATGAAGACATGCTGAGGGAATTGGGATTGTTCAGCCTGGAGAAGAGAAGGCTTTGGGGTGATCTCATTGTGGCCTTCCAGTGCCTGAAGGAAGCCTATAGGAGAGAAGGAGAGAGACTCTTGATAAGGGCCTGGAGTGACAGGACAAGGTGGGATGGCTTCAAACTGGCAGTAGGTTTAGTTGGGATGTTAGGAAGAAATTCTTCCCTGTGAGGGTGGTGATGCCCTGGCACAGACTGCCCAGAGAAGCTGTGGCTGCCCCATCCCTGGCAGTGTTCCAGGCCAGGTTGGATGGGGCTGGAAGATGGAAGGTGTCCCTGCCCATGGCAGAGGGTGGGAATGAGATGGGCTTTAAAGACTCCTCCTACCCAAACCACTCTCTGATTCCATATATAACTACTGCAGGGAGCTGTCAGATTTACCTTTATTACTTATCTTTTCTCCTGTGTCATACCTTTATGGCTGCTCACATCACCCTGCTCCAGGGTTGTTGTTTCTTTTGGCTCGACAACTCCCTGGGATGGCTCATACATGGTCATGTGTGCACTGGCATGAGGAAGATGTTGGCAGAAAC